CAGTTCAGCACTGGAGTACCAGAACTAGGGAAAGCTAACAACTTCAAGACGGTTGTAAGGATTTAAAACCAAGATGGGAATTCTTTTGTTGTTGCTGAACAATGCTGTGGCATACAAAGAGAAACTAAGTGAAGACACAACAACTTTCAGGTTTGCTTGTCCACTAATGCCCCTTTTATTCATTTCTGCAACATCTATTTTGTAAAGAAATTCTGTAGCCAAAAACAAAGCCTCTCTTCAGAAAAAAAAAAAAAAACCACAACCCACAAACCAAAAAACAAGCCACCAGCAAAGAGTAAATGTTCATTTAAAAGTACAATAATCTTTAAGGATCATTAAAACTATTTCCTAGTATCTCCTAGCCACACTTCCTACCTGGATGATTTGTGCTTTTTTAAAGCACAGACTGCATCTAGGAACAAGACACACACTGACAACAAAACCATGCTCTTAATATGTAAGATCTGCACCCAAATATTGTCCGTGCAAGCGTTCTGCCAATCCTAGGCGGTAGCAACAGGGATGCCTTCCCTGTGGGATGGTGGCTGTCAGGCCGGCCTCCTCCTGTACCAGACTCCTTGTTCTGATCAAATCACGCTCACTTCTCCTGGCAATACTTGCTCGGCACTTGCAAAAACTTGTTCTCGTCACTGTCTACGCCAAGAGCTGTGACTCTTTCCAGGATATATTTCCTATAATACAAATCTCCTCCTCCTATTTGTAACAGACTGAAGAAGTGCATTCCCCAAAGGGTAATTCTGATTCCTGGGATAAGGCAGCATTTATGGGAATTTAGCTGCTGCTGCTGCTGCCTTGTAAAAAGGCAGCAAAGAACTTGATTTTAATTTGTGTAATTTTATTAAGTGCAAATAAACTGTCACATGCACAACACATGTCTAAAGATTTGGCTTTATCAAGTATTCAAGTGCATTGTTTTCTTCACAGCCTTCAATTAATTTACTCTGCACTTTTGCCATTTATCACTATTGCACAACAAATATTTAGAAAGAAAAAAAAAAAAAAAGCCTTCAGCTAGCAAGAAGCAAACGTGGAAAACCGTTCCCTACTTGGAAGGCACCACCTTCGGTTCTTTATTACAGCGCTCTGTGCTGGGGAAAAAGAAGGAGAGAATGGGAGGACACGGTAAAGTCACGGCGCGGCCCAGCAGCTGCTTTGTATTGCTCCGTTTGGAAGAGGCGGCCCCGGTAGGTGAGTTTCCTGGCATGTCTGTGCCTGTGTCCCTGTAAAAGGAACATTTATTCTTAAAAAAAAATAGGCGTTTTACTATGGTGGAGCTACTGCTCAGTCTTTGTACGAGAAATGCTTTTCAAACTGCTAACAAGGCTTCAGTTCTATTTCTTAAGAGTTGAAAACGCTGCAGTTTTTACCCAGGAAATGATTTACAGCATTCCAAGATGCCTATTATTTTAGCATTGCTTAATCTTAGAAGAAGAGGCAATGAATGTCAAGAACCACTGTGAAAGTGCTTTCAAAATTTGAAGCCATCAAATAATTTATGGAAAGCCACTGTCTCAAGACTCACGAAATTTACTGACACGAAAAACCAAGACATTAGAAAAGTTAATTTCAAAATTTCTAAGTAAGATTGCTTAACATGGCGTATCTTCAGATCGATAAGGAAATGCTCTTGGGATAAATATGTGTCGTTTCAGAGGGTAAGCCAGACAAGCACTAGAGGAGGGCCTCATTCTTCAGCAGGGCATCCGCTGGCTCCCTCTTTCCGTTGGTCCGCTGGCTGTATCTGACAGCTGACTGCAGGAGAAAAGGAGATCGGATGGCATTGACATTTTCTCCTCTCTCCTCCTCACCAGCCTACGCCTTCCTTCTTCTCTTCCTAGTGCCTTGCATGTTTATACTCTCCAGTGAGCCTATGGCTCTGTGCCTGTGCAGAAGATGACAACAGACTAAACCTGAGGACAAAGGTCTTTTTTTTCTAACCCTTGATAGCCTGAAGCAGCCATTTGAGACTTGTACTCTGGTGCCCAAGTCTGTAATAAATGCATCAGGTGAAAGTGTGGGGTTTTTGTAATCATAGCTTTTCTCTTTAGGTATTCAGGCCAGAATTCAGCAGCAGAAGGTCCGTGCATGCTACTAGGCCATGGAGTGCAAGCATTGCAGAAGGTTTGGACAGGGAACTTCACCCCTGGAACAGCAGCAAAAAATCTGTCTTGCATTTAATCCCAAATTTAGTTTCTAATGGAAGCCCAGGGAGCATGGCACAACACCCGACTTCCCAGGGAAGGACCACATACTTACACACGCAAACAGAATTCAAAGCCCGTGGGCCATTTTTAATAGCTTTGGCACTCAGCAGGATTAACCTTGCAGCCTTGGCATAGCATCCTGCAACAGGACACAATTCAGCAACTCTCTCTTCATGGCTCATACAAATCTGGTTTGCTTTAACTAGTCAGTCAGCTATAAAGCTACATAAAAACATCAAACAGGCCTACATCGAAAATGTTGACTGTAGAATTAGGCAATCAGTTAACAACCACCAGCCGTATGTAGAAAGATAACTGGTAGTAAATTTATTTATTTAAACTCAAAAGACACAAGAAAGATGTTAATTTGAAAAATGTAAACTAATTATTATTTCCTGCAACTGCATGCATCGCCTTCCAAAATTCTCTGAGAGAGAACAAATGAACAGTCAGACAAAAGGACGCTAACCATTAGGTGTTGTGGAATGTGTTACTTACTACAACGATGCAGGGAATCCTTTAACCAAAGAAAGCAACTAAAGCTAAATGGGGCTTTTTGCAATAAACACTCATTGTGGGAAAAGAGCACTCTTTTGGGATTGGCTCTGTCGCTTACAGCTACAGAAGAACTTAGTTTTCTTCCTCTGAGGAGAGACCTTCGATTTCATCTCTGTCTCCTCCAATTGCCATCCAGAATGCTTTGGCCACCTAACAATGGGAAAAAAGATGGGAAAGGGAGAAAAATTCCCCTCAAATGACTGAAGATTTTGCATTTACCATCCAAAAACCAGAAACCGAGCAGCAGCCAAATCTGGCAACCACGTTTCAAAGTACAATGCTAATCCTCTCTGAAGTTCAGAAATTTCAACAACACAGAGGCAATAATTTAGAATTCACGGGAGGCATATGTGATACAAAACTTGTGCTAATTAAGGCATGATTAAATTTTCCTGGAGATGAAGGCTTTTCTTTTGACTTAATGGAAGCTGACTTACATTGCCAGTGACTTTCAGAAATTTTGAAAGAGGAAAGCCTTTTCTGGTGTTTCAAAATGCCAGATTTGTTACCCAGTTCTTCGGAGACAAGAGAGTCTTCCCTAGGACTGTGCAGTTTGTTCTTACTACTCTAAATAAAGGAACTTCACAAGAGAAGCAACTATGGCTTAGAAAGGAAAACCCCATTTTTAATAATTTCAACGCCAATTTCGAAGCCTCACCTTTTCCGCATGTAGTTTTCTTTGTTCATGAGGCAACGTTGCAGCTTTATCTGTGGAAAAGAAGATGACTTAGGTTGTCAGCCTCAGGAGTGGGCAGGGAGAGAAATGCCTACTGCAGCTGTTTTAAGGGGACTACCAAGAAGCTAGTTTAAGATCATAAAAAATGAATCTTATTTAGTAAGAGCAATTGCAATTCCAAAACACCAGAAAGCCGATGCTTCTGAGCACACTGGATCTCATCTCAAACATCTCTAGGTTTAAACTGCAAGACTGGCACACAGTTGTAGTGCTAAAAAAAAAAAAGGTCTTGTTATAGGTTTGTTTATAGAAAACTGTAGCATTAGTTCAGGGTGGACAAAATCAGTGCGGTAGCTGTCACCTGAGCAATCCCTACTTCTTTCAAGAGCGCTATCAAGATGGAGGGCAAGTTAAGGAAAAGATCAGCTACTTATAAAGAACCTCAGACAGGAGAATAGGAATTTGTACGATCTTCCCAACTCACACACTGGCTTTCATGCCTTTGAGTGATCAGAATAGGTGATACAGCTCACGACCTCTCTCCCTGGTACATTACCTTTCATTTCTTTCAGCTTTGAGAACAGCCTTTCAAAGTTCTCCAGGTCCCCATCTCTCGTGGTTAGGCTGGCTAACTCCTGAATGTCCATATCTAACATGGGATCTAAAACAAATGCATAGAGGTTGATTTAAGGTAAATTATTCTGTTTTGTCAGCAGGCATGAAAGCCTTTCTGATAAAAACCAGTATTTTAACATCTGCAAATCCCATTTGGGAATTCCAACCCCGTAGGAGGGAAAGAAACATTTAATTTACTGATTGTTCATACAGACCACTCATGGCATCGTTACAATGGTAATTAATTTTGATACATTACATTACATTGCAAGAGTGTTTTTGAGTTCATCCAATATTTAAGGCTTCTTGCTTATTATAAACTGATCTGTATAGGAACAGCAACAGAGTAAATTAAAGAGTAATGAGGCTATGCTTAGACCACAACTAACAACACCCAACCTTTAGAAGATCTCCACATACAACTTGTAAGAAAGTCCCATCTCCTGGAATGGTGCAATATTTTAAGGACCTGTAGTCTAAAACACTTGAACCTCTGCTGGGTCACACTGTAATGATTTTTCTCTGCAACCATAAAGCTTGAAGCTTTATTCTTATCAAGATGTTTATAGATACACACAACACGCACATCAGGAAATTTCACCAAATCAGATCTGAATGTTTCTGGTTGGTAGTACTGCAGGGGCTCTGGCCTATCCAAACCTGGGTCCAGTTTTTCAAGACGGAGAACACCTAAAGTCTGAACAATTAGCCTTTACTGGCTCGGGCAAGCACCTTTATGCCATACTTTTCACTGAGAAGAAGCCAGTGGCTTTCTGGGACCATCCCAGGGGTGCCTGCTCCAACGTATCTGCCAAGCAGAGACAGAGCGTACCTACAATGCTGTCAATCTGTAGGTTGTTTGTGCTAGCTCCATCTTCTCTGTTGTCTAAATGGGATTCTTCTCTGTCTGCTGGTGATGGATTGGACTGTCAGGAAACAAACAGACATTAGAGTATCCAGTCGTGCACCTAAAAAGCATCATCAGCAAATCAGGTGCTTCCTGTTTGACTTCAAAACTTACTCTTTATCTTCAACTGTTACTTACTGCAAAACCTGTACTATGAAAAGCCACTTTTGCAACACTGCAAATAGGTACTACGTGAAGGTTTTCTATGATAGGTTTGTTGTTGGTTTTTAAATCACACTATGAAGTGATAGGTTTTTTTTTGTACAAAATACTGCTCTTGGTTATTAATGAAAAACAACAACTTGAATGGAGCTTTTAATAGTCTTTCTTGGCTCCAGTGGGTTGTCTGGGGTAAAACAAGTATGCAGTGCGGAAGTCAGTGTGATCAACACCCAACACTGAGCACACAATCGGACATCTCCAGGTAAAACAATTAGTTCTGAGGCAATGTCCTGAAAAACAGCAAGCTCACAGCCATGAGGTGACAGCTCCTACAAAACGACTGTCTCAGGAGGCCTTGTAAGAAAAATACAGATAGTTTTTCAGACTTCAGAAATATTTCCTTTAAAGTACATTCCAACAGGCTGCGAAGCATCCCTTGAGAAAGGAGTTAAAAAAAGAAAGCTGCCACCATCACCACCACACCAAGTGTGACAGTAAGAAAGAGCAACACGAGAAATAGTATGAGCAAAGACAAGAAATAGGAATTACTGTTTACTTCTGTATCTTGGCTCTCTTCTGACCCAACGCTATGGTTCGCACCCGCTAATGTACTGAGAAGACCAAAGCCCTGGGTCCTGTCTAAAAACAAAACAGCTGTTAGTCTGACAGAAGATGCAATATTATTACAAATAGTTGTAACTGACCAGATGGGATAGAGAATAATTCAGGGAAGACACACAGCACCCTGTAAAACTGTGTCAGTGTACTTGAAAATATATTTTAAGCAGAAATTTTTCATAGTCTCTAAGTTTTTTTCAAACTATATTAACAACATTTACTGCTAAATATTACCAACAGAGAACAGATGTGTAAGCCACAGGAGATGTGAGCTCTTTTTTCTTCTTACTTGAAGTCACTGCTCTGTTAGGATTTGGCCTGGCAAATGTCTTCTGATTCCAAACAAGGCAGTTTTCAAAATACAGAAGCAGCATTTGCTATGACTGACATTCAGTGGTTTCACCATCCATGGGAAGCAGCACTCAGTTTGTGGTTAGATACAGGAAATGCAACAAGTGCCTTTGCTTATACACATACTGTCTAAATAGGTTGAGTGCTACAGTAATGGCAAAGGCAATTTTTAAATAGCTATCTCAGAATTCATGGAAGGACCCAGCCATCAAATCCAATGTTTCTTCACACTGCAAGGTGCTTTGGCCTCTCCACATCTGCTAACCTACTGTGTATTTCAACAGTATTTTAAAATCCAACCTAAAAAAAAAATTGAATTCAAACCTAAAACTAAACAAACACCTAAGAGACTAGATGCAGTACAGTATTTTAAAATTAAACTAACTGTATTTTAAAAACTTTTCAAAAATAAAAATATATGCATAATAGGTGATATTTAATAAAATATATTCATAATAGGTGATATTATGAGGGATTTTTTTTCTAAGCTATGTTTTCAGCTGGCCTTGCACTGAGTAGTAAGTATGTGCAGTTACACAAGGGACATAGGAGATTTTTCTGAAAATCTTAGTATTTTAGTCAACTAAAAAAGAAATAACAAATAGCCAGGAAACAATGACTTGTGCCAGAAGAGAGTAATATTACTTTTTTTAAAAAAATGTGCTCTAAATTATTACACTACTGACTAAGCTCTAGACTCAAATGTTGAGATGATGTAATTTTTATGCACTGTCCAAATTTACTTGCCATTTATACAAAATTCCATTTTGAAGAGTTGAATGTGTAACTAAAACCATCAGCTATCTAGAAAACCTGTAAACATCTCCATTAGAGAATTATTAAGACCTCATTGCGTGTTTAATAATCAATCATCTTCCCTGTGTAATTAGGCTGATGTGTGTCCTGTCCCAGTCCTCTTCTCCCCTTGTGCTACCCCAACTCCCCGGCAGGTATTTTTTTTCAACTGGCTCTGTTTTATACAGTTTTACTGCTTTAACAGCTCACTCGCCAAAGGTTTGGGAAGAAGTGAATCAGCCTAGCCGAATGAATTGCCTTCAAAACATTCAGCTGCAAAACACGTGAAAGCCCGTGAAGTCCGACAGCTAAATTAACAGGCAATTGAGTGATAAAAGATAGATTGGGACTTGCAACCCAAAACAAAGTAGCTTTCCCAAGATTCAGCAAGCTGAGCAAAGAACTGTCTTTTGGGAAACTGTAAAGATTGATATTTAGCCAATTTCTGAGTCATCTGAAGCTAGACTGGACATTGCAGTCCAGAATGTACTTGTGAGAGAACATTCCCATATTGGCAGAGGGGTGGATGAAGTGATCAAATCATGTACCTCTTTCACATCTATGATTAGAGTTCATCCTGTACAGAAAAATGACAGCGGCTCCATCCCCACCACCACCACATACACATAACCTCAGCCAGCATAATCACAATATGTTGTCCCAGTTGTTAGAAAGAACTGGATTCTACAGCAGGGATCTCTGAAAAGCAGCTATTTGTTTCTGGATCCATGGTTAGGGAGGTGGCAGACATAACGCTTGCAGGCACACCCTTGAAAAAGCCTTCCTATAAACTCTTTTCATTGGATGTAAAAGTTATTTCAACTTCTGGGCGCAATTCAGGAAGCGGTGATGCCTTATGCGGTGTTCTTACAGCATCAAAGCCAAAAATTATCTCACTCAACTTATTGTAATAGTTAGTGGCTCCATTATGACGGAGTCTATATAGTTTCACAGGTATCACTCACTCATCAATAGTTGTGAAGCTCTAGTATGCTGTGCTCAGAGCATGGCTTTGAGACTCATATATGCTCATTTCAGAGCAAAATGTTTTCTACTCTCTTCATCTACTATTCCCACATAGTCTGTCTCTAGCTGACATGTGGTGATCTTGACTTCCATAAAAAATTGGAATTAAAAAGTCAAAAGTCACCATTTGTTGAAATAACTAAATTTAAATAGTCCCTCTTAAATTAGGTTAATTTTCTGTAGAGAGAGTCAGGCTAATTACTGACCCCACCCAGTAACCAGCTTCAGCTGGGATCACTAAAGCACGTATTTAAGCAGGAAAGAAGCCAATGAGCCTCTTTCAGAGGGCAGTAAGTTGTTTCTCTTCTTGCCACCTAGGTCAACTAGCTTTGCTCTTGAAGGGACAGCTGAGGACAATAGCAGCGTGCTACATTTGGTGTGGTGTCTGGGGGTGCTGGCGGGGAAGATGTTTGCTGGAGAACTACTCGTGCTTTTCTGTATGAGGGGTAGAAAGCCACCTGATTCTCAGACTGATGAGAGCTCTGAGGCCTGGAGAACCAACAACTTTATACCAACTACAAAAGGGAATTGCTGTCCAGAGACTCTCAGGTAAGACTGCTTGTTTTCCTTTTAGTAGAGACAACACTGCTTTATTTACTCACAAAGCATTGACGTAAAAATGTTTATAATTCAACTCTGTTATATTTAATACCTATTTTTACCAGTCAGTGTGAGAATGATTGTATTTAATGGTTAGAGAAAAAAATCAAAAGGTCAAGATTTTTCTTAATAGGTGTGTGAAAAGACTACTTCACAACTTAAGAAGAATTGTGTTTGTGTTTAAGATAAAACACCTTAAATAATATGGGTTTAATGCTTGTACTTGAAAAACATCATTCCTG